AAAAAAAAGATCTCATGGATTGATTTACTCTAATCCTGCCTATAAGAATTTCAAGTGCCTGTGAGAACTCTCTAAGGAAGAATAAAATAGTGTGCCAATGCAAATTACTTCTAAACTAGGGGTGATCATAAAAATGAATCAAAATTCAAATCAATTAAACTAAGTGTAAACTTATCGGTATGTTAATATCTATCAAAACATATATCTACATCTAGATATGACCTAGTTTCTAAGGTATGGTTTAAAATACTTTTGGAAGAAGAAAAACTAAAATTGTGAAGAACTACAATAAAAAATTGTCTAGTTAAAAACCGGGTTTCGATACACGTGATTGGCACAGCACATATAGCCCATTGTGTAGCTTTGCACTTAACAACAAACAAACGATTAACTAAATGATAAATAAGTCACAACTTATTACAAAGCTCAATCAATAGACGCCCCCGATAGCTCTGCGGAAAAGTCGATGGGCTTATAAGGCTAAAACTCGGGTTTTAATAATCGCGGTGGGCAGAGCACAAGTAGCCTATTGTGTAGGTTTGTGCTTCACAACAAACATGCAAACATTAGACTGCATTCGTTCAGTCTTCACGAATTATTTTTAAGAGTTTTTTCGACCGTAATCCTAATAACAACTCATGAGATCAGATCAGCTCATGATATTTAGGCTAGCCATAAATCATTATTCTTATTATCTATTCAAAGTGACTAAAAATTAATACAAAAATGAGTAAGCCGATTTCATGACATTCAGAATGGGGTTAGCAGTGAACGAAAAGCAATACGATAAATATACAGCAAATAAAGATTAATAATAATAGCTTTTGCAAACTTCATTATATGAGCTTATCCGAATTAAAATTCATAGGGATTTTTACTTTAACTGTATGGTAAAATCGACATACGTGAACATGAAAAAGTAACAACCAAATCTGCCTGTAGCAGAAATTAACGTACCCGTTTCTCAACAGAATGGCTACTCAGATGGTAAGCAAAACGTAAAGCTTGATCCTGTATATAACCTGTCCAGGTGTCAGTAGCTTCTGCGTGGGCTGGCTTTACTACACCCAAACCCACTACCATCACCATCAAAACTACTGGAACAAAATGCCCTGACATCAAGATAATTCTTTTTTAATGAAGATAACTAAAAGGCTTAACTTTTGGCGGTTATTACAGACCTAATTTGTGGTCGTCTAAACTAATCGACTTAAGCACCAGGTTGCAACCAGTAGAACTACACGAGTGACGTAGTTATATAAGCTGTTTGTAATACGTTGTTGGCTTATATAAGTGGCCCACTAACCCACCAGCCCGTAACTCGGAATGTTATCTTGTATCTAGGCAGGTGTATTGCAACCGAAAGCATCTAGCCGATTCAAACAGTCTCTAGAAGCACATAACTGTATTTGTAAAATAGTCCACAGGACACACAAGTCTGTCTAACTACACACACACACACACACAAAAGTTGTAATTGTATTTTACTAAATCAGTCCAGGAAAAAAAAAAACTATTATTTTATTTACTGGTGTGTGTTAAAAAAACACAACAAAAACTTCCCTTTTGAAACAGACATGTGTGTATGAGTAGTAATATGCTCGAGGAACAAGTAAAGTGCCAATACTTTCTTGCGCATTTGAGCGTTTCTATTCTCTCTGTCTATAAACTTATTTTAGGAATCACGTGATAGATTTCATAAAACGTATGCAACACTCATCTTAGCCTAATTCTACATCTAGAAAAATATAAAGATGTTGTAATAATGTATATTCTTATAAAAAAGAAAGCCAGTTATAATGACAGACAATTTGGTGTGTATTTCGCGCAAAGCTACACGAGGACTATCAGCTCTAGCTGTCCCTAATTCAGCAGTGAAGGGAAGGCAGCTAGTCATTACCACCCACCGTCAACTCTTGGGCTACTTTTTTTGCCAACGAACAGTGGGCTTGATCATCACATTATAACGCCCACGGCTGAAAGGGCGAGCATGTTTGGTGGGACGGGGATTCGAACCCGCGACTCTCAGATTGCATGATAGACGAATAACGGTCGTTTACCACCAACGTCAGTCAAACGAGATCACTACAGAGCAAGTGATAAGGTCATTGGTAGGAAAATAAAGTATCAAAATGAACAGTATATTGATATTGAAAATTCACTGCAACTAAAGCATAAATCCGAAAACTATACGAGAGATTAACAACTTTTTCTCAGCACTCGTGTAAAGATTGTTTGTTTTTTTTTGTTTTTTGAATCTCGCACAAAGCTACACGAGGGCTATCTGCGCTAGCCGTCCCTAATTTAGCAGTGTAAGACTAGAGGGACGGCAGCTAGTCATCACCACCCACCGCCAACTCTTGGGCTACTCTTTTACCAATGAATAGTGGGATTGACCGTCACATTATAACGCCCCCACGGCTGAAAGGGCGAGCATGTTTGGTGGGACGGGGATTCGAACCCGCGACCCTCAGATTGCGAGACGAGCGCCCTAACAACCTGGCCATGCCGGGCCTCTCGTGTAAAGAAGGTACTTTTAGAAATACAGGTTCAAGGGTTTCTACCTACTAAAATAGTTGTGTAATTAATAGCATCATAATATTATTACAGAAGAATGTTTTTGCCGTCCAAAGAAACTGTAAATAAAAAAGTATATCACATTAAATGCAATTATTTTATATTCTAAAATATATAGTTTATCATTGAAATTCCTTTTTACAATAATTTCTTAGCTTAATTGTCCTCCTGTAAGTCAGCGGCAATTTAAAAAACTTACAATGCTAAAATCCGGGGTTCAATTCCCCGCGATGGACACAGCAGATAGCCCAATGTGATTTTGCTCTAAAACAATATTAGCTTAACATCACGTAATTGGTTTCAAAAACAAAATATTTTGGCAGGTCAAGTTAGCACCTTCCCTCACCTATTTCTTTCTCATCTCTAAATGATGGACGATAATACCTGTTCTTAACACAAATAATCTCAAGATTTGTAATGTTAATAAGTGTGGCAAAACCAAACCAGCCAGTTTTCTCAAGATTTGTAATGTTAATAAGTGTGGCAAAACCAAACCAGCCAGTTTTCTCAAGATTTGTACTGTTAATAAGTGTAGCAAAACCAAACCAAACTCCTTGCACGATGGTGTAGAGTTTCTGCTGTAAAATGCAATGAAACTGGCTTCTTGTAACGATATACAGATATTTACAGCAGCGGCAAGAGACAATACTGTTACACCATATCTCAACTTATGTAGTACTGTAGCTAAAGTGTGAGTTTGGAATGCAACTGGTCATACGTTATGTGAGCTTTATTCGACAATGACTGTCTTTAGCTATTACCTAGATATGATTAGGGATAAAATTATTAACAGTGAATATTTTGTAATTAAGGTTTTTCTAAAATACGCTGTGCCTGTGTGGCGAAGTACTTCTCATTGCAGCTGAGCGAGGAAAGAAATGAGTGGTACAAACGCAACAAGAAAGCATCAGTGTAAGTATCACTCAAGTGACTTATGACGTAATACGATTTCAACTCAAATCATATTTAAATGTACAATTAAACCTTTAATTGGGAAATAAATGTCCAAGTTGCGTGTTTGTAGCACAAAGCATAACAACGATCTATCTGTTCTGTGCTCACCGCGGTTAACAAAACCTAATTTTTAACATAATAAGCATTTGGACTTACCACTAAGCCACTGATGAAGGGTGGTAGATTCTGTTTGTTTTTAGAGCAAAGGTACTCAATGGATTTTCTTCGTTCTGTCTATCGTGGGGAGTCAAAATTTGAATTTTAACATTGTTAGTCTGGAAATTTACTGTTGACGTACTCGGGACTTCCAAGTTGTATCTCTGACATACTACTTACTCAGCTAATTTGTATTATTTGTGCAAATTTCATTATCATGAAAGCAGTAGACATGTAAATGTATTTCCCTTTTAATTGACACTGTTGATAATGTATGATGATAGATATATTTGAACTATTTAGTGAAATAAACGGTATTTTTTTTGAAAGACGGTTCTGTTAGACAGGCACCTATTGTCATACTCCCTTCAAGACTCTGTAATATCCTTGTTCTTACCCATTGTCTTTTTAGACTGCCTGACTAATAGGGTTCATGCAATTACAAAACACTACATATGGTTAGTCTACTTTGCAATTGCAAATAAATGGAGTGGCCTACAATGTGTGGGGGGTCCTAATATTGTGGTTAATGCGTGTGTGTTTATAGTAATTCTGAAATATTATATTTAAAATATAAAAAACAGTAGTAATTAACTCATTATTAGCACAATTAGTTAGTCAGTTAGCGTTGGAGTTAATTTCCCAACTTACACGGTCTGCGTATGTTTGTTATGTATTGTAACGTATTCCGCCAACAATATGACGCCATAAAGTGTCTTTGAAAATTGCTCATACGAGTATTATCATATCACGATTGTCTTTAGTACTTTGACTGCAACAGAACATCATACAGTGCCCTTAATTTATATATAGTCAGACTACGATAGGATATAAAATACTTTAACATGCATTGTCAAACAATAAAATATTTAGTATTCGGACTACAACAAGACACCATAGAGTGCCCCTAAATCACACTCAATATACCTAAATATAATACAGACTGAAACATGGAATCATAAAGTGACTTTATTTTATAATCAAATAAGATTCGAACGACAGAGGACATCATAAAATACCCTTGATTCACAGTCAGTGTAGTCACACATCATTCAGACTATAACACTGAAAACTATACTTGCAGTATAAAGACAATCAAAACTTTAGTATTCAGATTACAACAGAAAACCATAAAGTGCCTTTAGTTTGAAGTGACAGTTAGTTTCTAAAAACTTGCTTCATTATCCTTTCGGTGTTTGTATTATTGAAAACAAAAATGAGTTTTGATAGGTTTTTTTTCATATTCTCGTTAACCTATTTTAATGTTTTCTCGTTATACCGATAGAGGACACTGGAAATTTCATACGAACGACATTATGCAATCAACAGTACAGGCCTGCGAATTTAAACTTCATAAAAGTTGTTTTGGTTTTAATAACGGATTGTCCATAATTCAGCTATGCAGATTTCGAAAATAATATATTTTTTCTATCACATAAGGATTTTTTTTTATAAATCGGGAAGAAAAAATTCTTACTTAGATCAAATTATTATTTCGTTTACGACAATGAACATTTTTTACCATTATGTTTGTTAACAAAAATACAAAAACAATCTGAAGAAAATGGAAGAACTTTGATGTCAAACGAATATAAATCCTCATTCATCCTGATTTTTTTGTGTGTGAAATCTACGTCTTTTAGTCTCAAAACTATGTGTAGTGGTCTTTCTTTTATGTATTTGCGTTATTTGTTAGGTCGAAATTTATTCTGATTGTTCCACACACATCTTAAACTATCAACACTTGTGTGACTAGATTGTTAGGTCGAAATTTATTCTGATTAAGAACGCAGAATTTATTTTCTATCTACTTCTGTGCTTGCTTGTACAATTAAACAACTAAGTCCTGCTTTGTATTATTGTTTTACAAAAAGCACATCATTCATCTTTTGCCGTCAAAACTCGTCCGGAAAGTTCTGTACAACTATACATATTTACTTCGCCATCACTTGATGTTAAAGTTATTAATAGACAAAAAAAAAAAAAAAAGATTAGGCTGGATCCCGCTTGTAATTATATGACATTACAAAGTATGTTAAATTGTGTCTGGTTTTTACTAAACAGTCCTAAGATTGTTTTATTGTCTTGAACATTTTACATGTTCTTTGGTAATTCTTGTACGCTGAATCTGAAAAATGATATCCATTTTTCTCCATCACGTACATATTTTTCACAAAACGTCTCTAGTCACACAAGTGTTGATAGTTTAAGATGTGTGTGGAACAATCAGAATAAATTTCGACCTAACAATCTAGTCACACAAGTGTTGATAGTTTAAGATGTGTGTGGAACAATCGATTACACGTATTTGAACGTAATTAGGCACAAAGTGCTTTCTCTACCTGGACCCAAATCGTCTTGTAGAACAACGAAAACAGCGCAAAATCCAGACATTTTTTTATACACTTACAAAGAGCACATTTCAAGTAACGACTAACATACGAGTATTTGTCGCACGAAAATATCTGGTCAAAATAACCTTTTGTTTAATTACAGCCAAATTAAAAAAAAAACACCCATACACTTTGTCAAAATCCAAGCCATCGTATTCGAAGAAATAACACGTGATTCCGATGTTTTTGTTGATTTAAAT